ATTCACGAATGCAAATGTTTCGTTACATGTTGAAAGGGGAAATTAAAAGTTTTGACGATTGATAATACATAATTGGACGACTAACAGGAGTGTATGCTGTTATAGTTAGGTAATTTGTTTATCTATGCTAACACACTTTTGTATACTACGTTTTTTGTTTTACGTTCTTTGCACGGATGTAGAGGTTTTGTGGTCTGGACACACTTGAACACGCCACATATAGTTGCCCATGGGGAAAATATGGTTTTTCCAAATGTACGCCTGCACCTTTGAGTGTCTGGCCCTGAGCCTGCCAAATGCTAATTTTAAAGGGAATTTTTACCTTTTGAACTTGGATGGTAACTCCTTCGGTATTATCGGAATGCATGAAATTAAAACACTCTCGTTTCTAAACACACTCACGACGTTTGGACCTAGGTGTGCAATTTGTAACCGTGCGCAGTCTCGGTACAGCGAGGTTACGTATCAATAGTACTAGCACACCGACTTTTAATCTCAGCTTGTCGGAAGGTACCCCTGACAATTTTAAGGAGTTGGAAGAGCTTGTTATCTGTTATATGAAGAAGTTGATGTTACTTGTTAGTGCCCATTAGCGCATCTACAGGTAGATATTCTGTAATACCTCCCTCCATTTGTGACATACTTTTATTTTATTTATCTGACCTAAACTTTCATTAAAAAGTGCCGAAATTACCAATTCAAACACCATTCTCTATTCCTCATATATTCTCCGTTACTGTAAAGTATTTCATTGTACTCAATAGTATCATCAGGCCCTTATAATCTGTGGAATATACCATCCATCATGCTATATGTCATCCATTTCTACCATTCAAAAGAATACATAAAACAAATTACTATATCGTCGCATATTTTCCTTTAGTTATAATTAACATTAGTTTCTAAATATTAATCCAAAAATTCTTGCAGCTATATCATATCTATCAATAGATTTCTGTCCCGGCGTCAATTTATCGACAGCTTCTTGAATAAAATCTGATATGGAAAAGATACAAATATAAATAACTAAAATTAAATAGACTGCAAACTCGAAAAATGAAAATCAAACGTCGAGTTGAGTAATTTAAGTTATTATTCCATAAATAAATTATTTGTTTATTTTCTCAGAAAGATCACATAATGGCGGCTTTCTTTACGATCACGTGATGTTTGACATTAAAAATAAGTTATTCCACGTGTAGTTTGGCCGTGAAAGCGTAACAAACAGACAGACACACACTTTCTCATTTAATATATTATTAAGGATTTATTATTTGTTAGGAAACGCAAGTAGAAAAGACAGGTGATATGAACTGCAGTGATTTTTTAATCAAATTAAAAAAAGCTTTAGAATTATTTAAGAACCAATGAAAACATTGCCAACGATATTTGAAAAAAAATAAACAGAAAAAATAATTGCAAAGTAATTACACCGTTGCCTAGCAACTCATCAGTATCAACTCTAGTATCATTAAATTTGATTTATTTTAAAATCGTCTGCTTGTCAACTTTTTATTAAATTTCGAAAAATTAATAAAAATTGAAGTAAAAATGTCACATATATAAAATTGATATCATTGAAAAGGTAAAATTTTGGACTTTAAGATGGTATAAAAATAATTTTCGGGGGATAATTTGCTCCTAACTTACAGCGGAAAAACTGTTTCGGTTATTTTTTAATTAACTGACTGTTTAATTAACTTTTGGGCTTTAAAAAGTTGACAGTAATCTTCCCCTTGTCTTAATTAAAAAGTGTGCAAAGTTTGGTTAAAATCAGTGCAGTGGTTTATGAGGAGATGTGGAACATAGATACATACAAACATACATACAAACATATATACAAACATACATACACACAATGACTTTTATTAAGATTAAGATAAGATGCATTATCATGTCATCAAATCTTAAAATGTTCAAAAATTTTTTAAAAAATTAAGAACTAATAATGTATAAACAGTTTATCTCCATAGATTTTTTTTCTATTTTTGAAATGATGCGCTCTTACAAGATGAATAGGACAAAATATCAAACCCTCTGGCCTAACATCATTAACAAACACAATTATAGAAAATCAATATCCTTCTAGGAAGACCTGATTCAGTGCCATTTACCACGTTATTTCCTAAACACCGTGATCTCATTTTTACGGATGAAAAACGAACCTTTTCCGTTATCATTCACCTTGGCCGAAAATTTGAGTCCTAAACAAGTTTTATCTCGCTTCCTAAAGTAGTATTGAAACACAGAGATATGTACAGATATTAGTTGCGAAGAATAAGGGTAGCGTGGCCGAGCGGTCTAAGGCGCTGGTTTAAGGCACTAGTCTCTTCGGAGGCGTGGGTTCGAATCCCACCGCTGCCATTCGAGGCGTGGGTCTGTCCAGATCCACCGCAGAATCTTCTCTTTTGCTCCATTGTTATAATTACTAAGCACTCAGTTGAAAAGTGGTCATTGCGTGCTTGGTAGCGTGGCCGGAGCGGTCGCAGGCGCTGGTTAGCACAGTCTCTCGGGACGTGGTTAATCCACCGCTGCCAATCTTTCTGCGTCTCATTGTTATATGTACTAACATACTCAGTTGAAAGTGGTCATTCGTGTGGTAGCGCTGGCCCGACGGTCTGGGACGCTGGCTTTAAGGCCCAGTCTCTTCGAGGCTGGGTTCGAATCCCACCGCTGCCGAATCTTTCTTTGCTCCTTATTGTATGCAATTTCAACATACTCAGTTGATGCGGTCATTGCATGGTAGCGTGGCCGAGCGGTCTGGGCGCGGTTTAAGGACGCAAGTCTCTTCAGGCGTAAGGTTTCGAATCAACCGCTACACCTTGCTCCGATTGTTCAAATTACTAAGCATCCAGCTGAAAGTGGTCTGTGCGTGGTGCGCGGCCGAGCAGTCAGGCGCTGGTTTAGGCACCAGTCTCTTCCGGAGGCGTAAGTTCCGAATACGCTGCCAAGTCTTTTCTTTGCCGCTCCATTGTTATTATAATAAAATACTAGATTTGAAAGTGGTCATTGCTGTGGTAGCGAAATCGAGCGGTCTAAGGCGCTGGTTTACAGGCGCCAGTTCTTCGGAGGCGTGGGTCTGACCCACCGCGCCAATCTTTTCTTTTGCTCCTTGTTATATATTACACTACCCAGTTAAGAAAAGTGCGGTCATTGCAGTGTGGTAGCGTCGAGCGGACTAAGGCGCTGTTGCACCAGCTCTCTTCAGGGAGTGGTTCGAACTAACGCCAGAATCTTTCTTTTTTGCTCCATTGTTATAATTAATAACATACTCGTTGAAAAGTGGTCATTGCGTGTGGTAGGTGTGGCCGAGCGGTCTCAAGGGCGTGTTTAAGGCGTGACCAGTCTCTTCAGGCGTGGTTCCGACACCTGGCCTATATCTCTTTTCATTTTATATTCAATCTACTATACTCAGCCTGAAAAGTGGTCATTGCGTGTGGTAGCGTGGCGAGGCGGTCTAAAGGCGCTTGGCTTTAGCACCAGTCTCTCGGAGGCGGGTTGAATCACCGCGCTAATCTTTTCTTTTACTCCATTGTTATAATTAACTAACCATACATTGAAAGTGGTGTTGCGGTGGTAGCGTGGCCGAGAGCGGTCACAGGCGCTGTTAAGGCGCACGCGTCTCTCGGAGGCTGGGTTCACATCCCACGCTGCCATCTATCTTTTCTCCATCGTTATATTACTAACACTACTCAGTTGAAAAATGTTCATTGCGTGGTATGTAGAGCCCGACTAGGATCGCTAGTTTAAAAGCACTACCAGCTTCTTCAGCGTGGGGTTAGACAACCGCTGCCAATCTTTTCTTTTGCTCCATTGTTATAATTACTAACATACTCAGTTTGAAAACTTGCTCATTGCGTGTGGGCGTGGCTGTACGGTCTCTCAGGCGCTGGTTTAAGGCACCAGTCTCTTCCTTCGGAGGCGTGGTTGACCAACCGCTGACCAATCTTTCGTTCCATTGTTATGATACACACATACTCAGACAGAAGGTGGTCATTTCGTGTAGCGTGGCATTCTGACGGTCTGGCTAGGCTGCTGGTTTAAGGGCTCAGTCTCTTCGGACCGCGTGGTTCGAATCACACCGCTGCCAATCCATCTTTTGTTCATTTGTTATAATTACTAACATACTCAGTTGAAACGTGGTGCTGCATTGGTAGCGTGGCCGAGCGGTCTCAGGCGTTGGTTTAAGGGCACCAGTCTCTTCGGCAGGCGTGGGTTTCCGATCCACCGCTCCCACCCTTTCTTTTCTCATCGTTATAATTACTAACACTAGCGTGAAAATGGTCTGCTTGTGGTAGCGGGTCCGAGCGTGTCTACAAGGCGCTGGTTTGCAGCACCAGTCTCTTCGGAGCGGGTCGACTCCACCGCTGCCAGCGTCTTTCTTTTTGCTCCATTGTTATAATTACTAACATCGTTGAAAAGTGGTCATTGCTGCGGTATAGCAGGCCGAGCGGTTCTACGGGCGCTGGTCTTAGGCACCAGTCTCTTCGAGGCGTGGTTTCGAACCCACAGCGCCAGTCTTTCTTTTGCTCCATTGTTATAATTACTAACATACCTCAGCTTGAAAAGTGGTCATTGCGCGTGTGGTAGCGTGCAGTCGAGGTCCTCCTGGACCGGCACCAGTCTCTTCGGAGGGCGTGGGGTCTTGAATCCACCGCTCCATCAACCTCTTTCTTTGCTCATCGTTAATATAACATACTCCAGTGAAAGTGGTCATTGCGTGTGGTAGCGTGGCCAGCGGTCTAAGGCGCTGGTTTTAAGGCCGTTCTCGGCGGGGTTCGACTCAACCGCGCTAATCTTTTCTTTTTCCATTGTTATAATTACTAACATAACCAGCTGGTGAAAGTACATTGCGTGTGGTAGCGTGGCGATGCGGTCTACGGCGCTGGTTCAAGGCACCAGTTCTGCTTCGGGCGTGGGTGATCCCACCGCTGCCAGTCTTAGTTTTGCTCCATTGTTATAATTACCAAACCTACTCGTTGAAAGTGGTCATAGCGTGTGGTAGCGTGCAGCGGTCTAAGGCGCTGGTTTAAGGCACCGTGTCTCTTCGAGGCGTGGGTTCGAATCCCACCGCTGCCAGTCTTTTCTTTTGCTCCATTGTTATATCACTACTACTCAGCGAAAGTGGTCATTGCGGTGGCCGAGCGTTGGCAAGGCGCTGGTTTAGGCAGTGCGTGGGTTCGAATCCCACCGCTGCCAATCTTTTCTTTTGCTCCATTGTTATAATACTCACCCAGTGAAAAGGGTCATTGCGTGTGGTAGCGGGCCGAGCGGTCCCAAGCGCCATTTTAGGCACTCAGTTTCTGGAGGCGTGGGTTGAATCCCAATCCGCCAATCTTTATCTTTTCCATTGAGCAATTACTAACATACCCAGTGATAAGGGTCATCGTGGTAGCGTGGCCGAGCGGTCTACGCTGGTTTAAAGGCACCAGTCTTTCAGGAGGCGTGGGTTCGAATCCACCGCTCCCCCCATCTTTCTTTTGTTCATCGCATACTAACTATACCCAGCTGAAAGTGGTCATTGCGTGGTAGCGTGGCCGAGCGGTCTAAGGCGCTTTAAGGCACCAGTCTCTTCGGAGGCGTGGGTTCGAATCCCACCGCTGCCAATCTTTCTTTTGCTCCATTGTTATAATTACTAACATACCAGTGAAAAGTGGTCATTGCGTGGTAGCGGGCCGAGGCGGTCTAAGGCGCTGGTTTAAGGCACCAGTCTCTTCGGAGGCGTGGGTTCGAATCCCACCGCTGCCATGTTTCTTTTGCTCCATTGTTATAATTACTAACATACTCAGTTGAAAAGTGGTCATTGCGTGTGGTAGCGTGGCCTAGCGGTCTAAGGCGCTGGTTTAAGGCACCATTTCTTCGGAGGCGTGGGTTGAATCCCACCGCTCAGTCTTTTTTTTGCCCATTGTTATAATTACTAACATACTCAGGTGAAAAGTGGTCATTGCGTGTGTAGCGTGGTCAGAGTCGGTCTAAGGCGCTGGTTTAAGGCACCAGTCTCTTCGAGGCGTGGTCTGAATCCACTGCCCCAATCTTTTCTTTTGCTCCATCGTTATAATTACTAACATACTCGTTGAAAAGTGGTCATTGCGGTGGTAGCGGCCGAGCGGCTAAGGCGCTGGTTTAAGGCACCAGTCTCTTCTGAGGCGGTTCGAACTCCACCGCTGCCAATCTTTTCTTTACCTGTTATAATTTAACATACCAGTTGAGTGGTCATTGCGTGGTAGCGTGGCCGAGCGGTCTAAGGCGCTGGTTTAAGGCACCAGTCTCTTCGAGGTGGTTCGAACCCCACCGCTGCCGTCTTTCTTTTGCTCCATTGTTATAATTACTAACATACCAGCTGAAAAGCGGTCATTGGTGTGGTAGCGTGGCCGAGCGGGTTAAGGCGCTGGTTTAAGGCACCAGTCTCGAGGCGTGGGTTCGAACCAACCGCTGCATCTTTTCTTTTGCTCCATTGTTATAATTATAACACATCAGCTGAAAAGGGTCAGTGCTGTGGTAGCGTAGCCGAGCTGGTCTAAGGCGCTGGGCACCAGTCTCTTCGGAGGCGTGGGTTGAACCCACCGCTGCCAATCTTTCTTTTGTCTCTATAATTACTAACATACCAGTGAAAAGTGGTCATTGCGTGCAGGTAGCGTGGCGTTGTCTGGTCTGGCGCTGGTTACACCAGTCTCTTCGAGGGCGTGGGTTCGAACTACAACGCGCTTAATCTTTTCTTGTTCCATTGTTATAATTACTAACACTCAGCTGAAAGGGTCATTGCGTGTGTAGCGTGGCCGAGCGGTCTAAGCGCTGGTTTAAGGCACCAGTCTCTTCGAGGGGTCTGAGTCCCACCGCCGCCAGTCTTTTCTTTTGCTCCATTACACTACATACTCAGCTGAAAGTGGTCATTGCGTGTGGTAGGTGGCCGAGGGTCTAAGGCGCTGGTTTAAGGCACCAGTCTCTTCGGAGGCGTGGGTTCATCCCACCGCTGCCGTCTTTTCTTTCTCTGTTTATAATTCAACATACCAGTGAAAGTATTCGTGTGGTAGCGTGGCCGAGCGGTCTAAGGCGCTGGTTTAAGGCACCAGTCTCTCTGGAGGCTCTGAACCCCACCGCCCACTCTTTTGCTCATCGTTATAATTACTAACATAACGCTGAAAAGTGTCATTGCGTGGGTAGCGGGTCGAGCGGTCTGGCGCTGGTTTACACCGTCTCTCGGAGTGGGTCTGAATCCCACCCTGCCAATCTTTTCTTTTGTCCACCAGCAATTACTAACATACTCAGTTGAAAAGTGGTCATTGCGTGTAGCGTTGGCCGAGCGTCTAGGCGCTGGTTTGGCAGCCTTCGGGGGTCGAATCCCACCGCTGCCATCTTTTCTTTTGTCTCCATTGTTATATCTAACATACCAGTTGAAAAGTAGCCATTGAGTGTGGTAGTGTGGCCCAGCGGTCTAAGGCGCTGGTTTCAGCCATTTCGGAGGCGTGGGTTCGAATCCCACCGCTGCCATGTTTTCTTTTGCTCCATTGTTATAATTACTAACACACTCAGTTGAAAAGTGGTTTATTGCGTGGTAGGCGTGGCCGAGCGGTCTAAGGCGCTGGTTTAGCACCAGCTCTTCTGAGGCGGGTTCGAACCCACCGCCGCCATCTTTTCTTTTGCCCCATTGTTATAATTACTAACATACCAGTTGAAAAAAGTATTGCGTGTAGCGTGGCCAGCGCGCGCTAGTTTAAGGCACCAGTCTCTTCGAGGTGGGTTCGAATCCCACCGCTGCCAGTCTTTTTTTGCTCCATTGTTATAACTAACATACTCAGCTGAAAAGTGGTCATTGCGTGTGGTAGTGGCTGAGGGTCTAAGGCGCTGGTTTAAGGCACCAATTCGAGGGTGTCTGAATCCCACGCTCCCCAATCTTTTCTTTTGCTCCATCGTTATAATTACTAACATACTCAGTTGAAAAGTGGTCATTGCGGTGTGGTAGCGTGGCCGAGCGGACTAAGGCGCTGGTTTAAGGCACCGTCTCTTCGGAGGCGTGGTTCGAATCCAACCGCTGCCAATCTTTCCCTGACTGTTATAATTATAACATACCCAGTTGAAAAGTACTGCGTGGTAGCGTGGCCGAGCGGTCTAAGGCGCTGGTTTAAGGCACCAGTCTCTTCGGAGGCGTGGGTTCGAATCCCACCGCTGCCAGTCTTTTCTTTTGCTCCATTGTTATAATTACTAACATACTCAGTTGAAAGTGGTCATTGCGTGTGGTAGCGTGGCCGAGCGGTCTAAGGCGCTGGTTTAAGGCACCAGTCTCTTCGGAGGCGTGGGTTCGAATCCCACCGCTGCCATGTTTTCTTTTGCTCCATTGTTATAATTACTAACACACTCAGTTGAAAAGTGGCCATTGAGTGTGGTAGCGTGGCCGAGCGGTCTAAGGCGCTGGTTTAGGCACCAGCTCTTCGAGGCGTGGTTCGAATCCCACCGCTGCCATCTTTCTTTTGCTCCATTGTTATAATACTAACATACCAGTGAAAAGTGGTCATTGCGTGTGGTAGCGTGGCCGAGCGGCTAAGCGCTGGTTTAAAGGCACAGTCTCTTCGGAGGTGGGTTCGAATCACGCTGCGCCAATCTTTTTTCTTTTGCTCCACTTGTTATAAACATACCAGTTGAAAAGTGTCATTGCTGTGGTAGCGTGGCCGAGCGGTCTCAACGTGGTTTAGGCACCAGTCTCTGAGGCGTGGTTCGATCCAACCGCTGCCAGTTTTTTCTCTTTATAATTAATATACACATCCAGTTTGAAAAGTGGTCACGTGCGTGGTAGCGTGGCTCGAGCGGCTCTAAGGCGCGCTGGTTTAGGCACCAGTCTCTTCGGAGGGCGGGTTGAATCCACCGCTCTGCCAGTCTTTTCTTTGCTCCATTGTTTACTATAACATACCCAGTGTGAAAGTGGTCTTGGTGTGTGGGAAGGGCCGAGCGGTTCTGGCTGGTTTAGGCACCAGTCTCTTCGCGGTATGTGGTTCGAATCCACCGCCAATCTCTTCTTTTGCTCCATCGTTATAATTACTAACATACCCAGCTGAAAAGTGGTCATTGCGTGTGGTGCGTGCCGAGCGGTCTAAGGCGCTTAAGGCACCAGTCTCTTCGGAGGCGTGGGTCTCGAACCAACCCTGCCGTATCTTTTCTTTTGCCATTGTTATATATAACATACCAGTGAAGTGGTCATTGCGTGTGGTAGCGTACGACGTATTGCTGCGGCTTAAGGCACCAGTCTCTGGAGGGCGGAATCCCACCGTGCCGTCTTTCTGCCCATTTGTTATAATTACTACTACCAGCTGGTAAAGCTGCTCGCTGGTAGCGGCTGAGTTGGGTCTATCGGCTGTGCGTTAAGGCACCAGTCCTTGTCATGGGGGTCTGAACTCCTGCTCCAATGTTTTCTTTTGGCTCCATTACATACTACATATCAGCGCTGAAGTGGTCATTGCGTTGTAGCGGCCAGTTGGTCTAAGGCGCTGGTTTAAGCACCAGTCCTATGATGTGGGGATCTGAATCCCTACCGCTCCAATCTTTCTTTATGCTCATGTTATAATTACTAACATACCTTCAGCTGAAAAAAAAGTGGTTCATGCGTGGGTGTGTGGCCAGTATGGTCTAAGGCGCTGGTTTAAGGCACCAGCTCCTTCTGTGAGCGTGAGTCTGAACCACACATCTGGCTTTTCTTTTGTCTACTGTTATAATTAACTAGTTGAAAAGTGGTCATTGGTGGCTAGAAGTGATGCCGAGGTCTCGGCGCTGTTTGGACAGGCCCAGTGCTTCGGTAGGCGTATCTAAATCCCAGCCGCGCCAGTCTTTTCTTTGTTCATTGTTATAATTACTTACATACTCAGTTGAAAAGTTGGTCATTGCGTGTGGTACTGGTCGAGGTCTAGCGCTGGTTTGCTGCACTGTCTCTTCGAGGCGTGGGTCTGAATCCCACCGGCTGCCAGTCTTTTCTTTTGCTCCATTTTATAATTGTATTAACTACCAGTGAGTAGCTGGTCATCTGCGTGTGGTAGCTGGCCGAGTTCGGTCTAAGGCGCTGGTTTAAGGCACCAGTCCTTCGGAGGCGTGGTTCGAACCACCGCCCAACTTTTCTTTTGCTCCATCGTTATAATTACTAACATACTCAGCTGAAAAGTGGTCATTGCGTGTAGCGTGGCCGAGCGGTCTACAAGCGCTGGTTTAAGGCACCAGTCTCTTCTGAGGCGTGGGGTTCGAACCAACCGCCGCTGAATCTTTCTTTTGTCTTACTGGTTATAATTACTAACATACTTATTGAAAACTTGGTCACGGTAGCGGCCGAGCGGTCTACAGCTATTTGCGCAACAGTCTCTTCGGAGGCGTGGTCTGAATCCCACCGCTGCTAAATCTTTTTCTTTGCCCATTGTTATAATTACTAACATACCAGCCAAAAAAAGTGGTCATTGCGTGTGGTAGCGTGGCCGAGCGGTCTACAAGGCGCTGGTCGAAGGCACCAGTCTCTTCGCTGAGGGTTCGACCCCACCGCTGCCAGTCTTTTCTTTTCTTCATTGTTATAATTACTAACATACCAGCGCTGAAAAGTGGTCATTGTGTGCGGTAGCGTGGCCGAGCGGTCTAATGCGCTGGTTTAAGGCACCAGTCTCTCGGAGGCGGGCGAACTCACCGCCAATCTTTTCTTTTGCTCCCATTGTTATAATTACTAACATATTCAGTTGAAAAGTGGTCATTGCGTGGTAGCGTGGCCGAGCGGTCTAAGGCGCTGGTTTAAGGCACCAGTCTCTTCGGAGGCGTGGGTTCGAATCCAACCGCTGCCAATCTTTTCTTTTGCTCCATTGTTATAATTACAAACATACTCAGTTGAAAAGTGGTCATTGCGTGTGGTAGCGTGGCCGAGCGGTCTAAGGCGCTGGTTTACGCGCAACTGGAGGCGTGGGTTCGAATCCCACCGCTCCCAATCTTTCTTTTGCTCCATTGTTATAATTACTAACATACTCAGTTGAAAAGTGGTCATTGCGTGTGGTAGCGTGGCCGAGCGGTCTAAGGCGCTGGTTTAAGGCACCAGTCTCTTCGGAGGCGTGGGTTCGAATCCCACCGCTGCCAATCTTTTCTTTTATTAGAAAACTAAGCATCTGCTATAATCTGGGTTGACAAAAATCGCACTCTTCTTAAAGATGTTTTAATAATTTTTTTATTTATTTTTCGTAAAGAAAAGTAGTGCTAGAACGGCGTTCCCGCTCCACTACACTCCTGCTGGGCGGAAGATTTAATGTGCTCCAGGTCCACATATACGGTGGAATTTTTGCTGTAAATGGATCTTCAACTCTCCAGTCCTCAGTTAAGATTTTACCACCAGGGCATCGCAGCTCTACAAATTTCAGGTGTTACAGGGTTGTCATAAATTATTGGACTCATTTCAAAAATTAACAAATTAATAAATAAACTAATAATGTTACAACTCCTTTTTTCGGCCTTCGAAATTTGCTATAGCGAGATATTTTCTTACGCAATAACTACCGATCAGCGGAAGACGATGAGCGTTTTCTGGTTTCCCTTTTTAGGTTTTCTTGAGTATCTCGAAAACTATTCAGTTTTCGAATTACAATTGATTTAACAAATCAAAGAGCGTAAAATTCTCTACAAATGCATGCTTTTATGTTTCTTCTAGCGTTAATATTTTAGTAGATAATGGCTCTCAAAAAATGGGAATGTCCAATAATTTACGACCACTTTGACCACCGTAACGGCGCGTTACCTATCTGAAAAAAAAACCTTTTAAAATGCGATCTCATTTAAAGAAAAACCGTATTTGTAACATTATAATTTTTTTAATTAATTTTTGAAATGGGTCGAATAATTTATGACCACCCTGCATTTTGACTATCAGTCATTGGTTAGCTTACACCGATTGTTCCTACAATTTTACTTCTTTTCGCATGAAAGAAAATTTCCGCGACTCCTAATTCGAAAAATAAGTATAAAAACAGCAGAGGTGTTCTCCCTAAGACTTTCTGATGTACTCCCACAATATGATGTGGTTAGCTTCGTAGCACCGTGCAAAAAAATACCGATTATTTATATATTTACAAGGAGAGGGCACGACTTGGGAAATTCAGTTCGGGATGAAACTTGGCATATTAGTAGCATACCTTTAGGGTGTTCACCCATTAATCTAATAAAATGCAATGGCCAGCCAATTCGGAGAAAATGGCCCTCAAACTTTGGGCTCAGCTTATATACCAGTGCGAAATCTCCAGCAGATAGCAGCCAAATGGCTCAGGTGTCAGCGCGCTTTCCTTCTGTTCGCTTGGTCGTCGGTTCGGACCTTCCTGTGTTTTATTCATTTTTATTTTTTCCAAAATTATTTTAAATTAAATGAAAAATTAAAGAAATTTTTTAAATTAAAATTTTAATTATTTTTATGCATAAAATAACTGTTCATTCATATGATACTTGAATTATAGTTAAAAATTAATTTATAAGCAGTAAAGTAATTATAAACACATCTTTAATGGTGATAAATGGTAATTATAATGATGCTCATCATGAAACATTTTTGTTTAGACTTTATCATTCATAAATTTTAAAAATTCATTCTACATTTATAAATTTATCTTTCGCTTGGTGCTAGTAATTTTATATTTCTACATTTAATTACATACAAGAACCAGAATGATAATTATCATGAAAACATTTGAAAAAAATATTTTGACATCCTGGACAATTAATAAATGACGATTGTTCACAAGAACAATGGTTCTTTAAGTGATTCTTGTGCGATTCCATCTTCAACCTCCGATACACTAGCAATATATTTATTCATAGAACATTTCAACTATCTGTATCATGCCAATTTAATCGAAAAACGATACAAAACACTTGAAAATCCAAGGTGAATAATCACGTTTGTTCAGAGTTTCTAAAGAAATAAAAGTAGCACTATAGAAGAATTTCATACGATAGTGAGTAAAAACAATTACACATCTTTCCCTTTTCAATCATTGAAATTTTATACCATCTGCCTATGTATTTAATAGATTAACAGCTGCTCTCTACTATTTACATTCGATCATTAAAATATTAGACCGTCCACAAATGTATTCAATGTATTAACATCTGCTCTCTTTTGTTTTCAAGATAAAGTAAAAGCGAAGTATTTGTAAATACAAAAACCCAAATAATTTAAAACTTTTAATGATTTTAAGATTTCAATTTTAATTACAGTTATTATTTATCACCATTAAAAACGTGTTTATAATTATTTTACTGCTTATAAATTAAATTTTAACTATAATTCAAGTATCATATGAATGAATAGTTATTTCATGCATAAAAATAATTAATATTTAATTAAAATATATAATTTTGGAAAAAAATGAAGAAAAATACAGCAAGTTCCGAACCGACGACCAAGCGGACAGAAAGAAAGCGCGCTGACAAGTGAGCCATTTGGCCGCTAACTGCTGGTGATTACTTACTGATATATAAGCTGTGCCCAAAGTTTGAGGGCCATTTTCTCCGAATTGGCTGGCCATTGCACTTTATTAGATTAATGGGTGAACACCCTAAAGGTATGCTACTAATATGCCAAGTTTCATCCCGAACTGAATTTCCCAAGTCGTGTCCTCTCCTTGTTAGAGAAAAGCACACTACAGAGAAAAATCCATTTACAGAGTACTATAAACAACAAACACACAAAGAACAAAAGCCACAACGAATAAATAAAATTTAAAAAAATGCACTAGAAAATGAAAAGTTGAACACAGAGAATACACAAAATCATAAAAAGTTTGCAAACGCATATATAATTAAAAACGAAAACACATAATTACAAAAACATTAAAACACACTATGATGCTAAAAGTCGTATTTTTTAAAAAAATTAAAGACCATTTCCAAAAGGCAATGGCTATAAAGTCAACACACACAAGCACCGAATCCTCTAAAATACACCAGGAGTAAAAAAATACACACTTGAGATAAAAATAAATTGCAACACTTAAGATAAAAATAAATTGCAACACTTAAGATAAAAATAAAATTGCAACACGGCGCCAAAAACAGAGTACAAAAATTAAAACCTATAAAAAACATTAAGAAAAAGGTCGAACACCGAAAATCAAGACACATAAAAATCTAAGAAGTCGTAAAAAGGCAAAATAAAACACATCATGTATTTAAAAACTGTAAACATTTCGATTTAAAAGCACCAAGAGACATATTTAAAATATCAAATTCATCAGAGAATTTGTTAAAATTTTTAAAAAATCTATATAACGAGAACCTGTTAATATAATTAAATTTTGAAATACATTTAGAAAAGAACTTCAGTTCCTTAAAAATCTGGCTGGCACAGCGAAATCTATAGAGCTCAGTATGTCATTAGAATCGTTCGAACCATTAATAACTTTGTAAAAGAAAAGAACGCAAAAAACATCTCGTCTGGAACACAAACTAGGCACATATTAAATATATTACGTAGAAGTGAAGAAGCTAAGCAAGTAAAATCCATTTTTCTTGTAAAGTAAATATCTCAAGAAGTTGTTTTGTATTCGCTCAATAATTTAAATTTTGTTTCGGTGATTGGGATCCCAGATAATACTGCAATATTTCAGATTGGATCGGACATGAGCGCAGTACAAGACCTTCAGGGCAAGTTCGCTGAAAAATTCTCTGGTTCTGCGCTTACGAATTCCAAGTCTGCGATATGTCGTAGGGGTCTATTTTAGCCTTTAAAGAGATAGTTGTTAATAGACCCGTACGAGACCATGGTATCAATGTGTTGGTAAAAATCAAGTTTAGTGTCAAAGATGATTCCAAGATCCGTGACTGTATTTGAGCGTGATAAAACAAGATTGCTAATTTTATATACATCATTCAAAGGTTGAGCTTTTCGAGTGTAACTAAGAACACTACATTTTTCAATGTTCAGGTGTAATCTGTTGTCTGTGCACCACTTAAAAAGACAATCAAGATCTCTTTGCAAAAGAACTGCATCCAAACTGGAACGCACCGAACCAAACAATTTCAAGTCGTCAGCAAATAAAAGACATTCAGAGTACTTAAAACACAAGTAAGGTCATTAATGAATAAAATAAAATGCAGAAGTCCAAGATTAGAACCCTGTGGGACACCGGAAGTACTTGTAAACTCATGAGAAACAGCATTATTAAAATAAACATAGAGTGTTCGATTACATAAGTAAGAAGCCAATCAGTCAGGTTTACACGAAAACCAATACCATGTACCTTTTTTAAAAGAATACCAAAATCAATAGAGTCAAAGGCCTTAGAAAAGTCGGTGTAAATAACATCAAGTTGAGAACCAGATTCAAATGAGGAAATAATTTTATCTGTCAAACAGAATAAGTTAGTGGTTGTTGAACAGAATAATTTAGTGGTTGTTAAATTATGCATTTTGAACCTATTTTCTTTGGTCAACTAAGGTGGCTTTAGAGCTGAATTCGGACAGGGTGGTGTCAGCTTAGGTGTCGTGCTCGTCATTTAACCACGGTCGAAAATTACTATGTTCGTCCCAAAATAGCCCTCGTGTAGTTTTTAAATGGGACGCTAATATAACTAAACTAAACTAAACTTTGGTCGATTGAATCTAAAATTTGATACAAGTAACATATCAAAATTTAGCTATTCAGTTGGTTGCGTTTTTTAATAATTGTATTCACATGCACAAGGACTGACAGAACGCTGCCCCATGCCTCCGTACCTGAAGTCATTACAGCAACGGAACCTGTTGAGTGGACATGGGACTACACGTAAGGACTGACAGTCAAACCATTGGTGTGATTATTTGATGGTAAATTCCATTGCTAAATTTCCTCTATCTTTTCTGAGTTTTTCAGTTTTCGTGTTCACGTACACGCGGATAGGCAGACAGACTCACCCAAAATTTGATAGAAATCTAAAATTTTGCTTTAAAGACATGCCAAATTTCAATTGT